TGACAGCCACAGTGGAGAAAAGAGTTTGTGTGAACTTTAATGTAAGGACTTAAATATTCATATGTAGCTCACATTAAGCTATCGTATGGCTTCAGAAGTAACACAGAATAATTCGCACAATCGGGAAAACAAAAAAATCTCGGATTTGGATCGGCTCTCTCTGACCGATACCCGATCCGAGAAAAATGGCACTATCGGAGCTGATACCCGATATGAATATCGGATCGGCGCATCCCTACTTTTAATAAAAGCTTGTTTATCAAGTAAGCTCTAAAGGCAGCATTAAATAACATGTTTATTTCGATCTTGTCTCCTAAAATATTTTGCCCCTAGAAAATTTGAATGGTTTTTTCGTTAGTTTACTTTGGAGTCCCAGAATTATTAGTCTACCTACTACTGTATGTAGCATTATTGCTTATCCATGTATACATTGTGCAGTGTTTCAATTAACATATTAGCATGTTTCACAGTGGAAATTTTACAGTATCAAATTATAGGTCAAAAGAAGTACACAATTTATTTACTTCAGAGAGCAGTTTGAATTCCCAGCATGTTATGGGGCAATAAAAAAGTAGAGATTTAACAACATTTAAGAATCATATGTCATGTATTATTCCTCACATCTAGGAGCCTGAACATCTGCAGACGAATATGGCGGCCTACAACAATCTCTCCTTTGCAGAAGTTGTGCAAGAGCTCATCAAGCAGAAAGAGGTGGTGAGAAAGAAAGATGCTCATATTCGGGAGCTGGAGGACTACATTGATAACCTGCTGGTCAGGGTAATGGAAGAGACACCCAGCATCCTGAGAACACCCTATGAGCCCAAGAGAAAAGCTGGGAAGATCTCAAAGAAGTAAAGGATCTCCAAAGCATATTATAACAGCTTTCTGGAAAAATATGTATTGCTTGTAAAAGGACACTGGAATGTCATTTCTGATAGGCCAAGTGTATTTGTTCACACACGGACAGATTTCTTGCCATAAAGTTACTCTAGGTTTGCAAGAACAACCGGATATATTGTGAAGAAAGATGGGCACTAAATGTGGAGATGCCAAACCCCCTTTTTTAGATTTTTCCATTACTTTTTATTTGAGCACTTAATACTCTCACTGTGTTTTGCGATGATCACTGGGGTGGACTGTCCATATGAGGCCTTTAATTTGCTGTGACTGAATTCACACTTCAATAGCTGTACCAGATCAATTGACATACGTTTGTCCACAAATATGTGGTGAAGCAAGGAAACACTTGGATGGCACCATGGGACATAAAGGTGATTGTTTACTGCATGTTCTAGCACCGGAGCATATTGGGTTCGACAGGGTAACTCTCCTGTCACTTTTGAGTGATCAGACTCATGATATTGGCATGTGTTTGGTGCCATATTGATACGTTACAAGACGTCGGTACTGAAAACTTTTTGGTACTTTTTTTCAAAGCATACGTCTATAAAAAAAAATACACTCAGAATTACACTACCAATATTTATTTTGAGCTTGATTGCAATGAGCAAATGTGTATGTGTGAATAACACTGTTCACTTTTTAAGTCTAAAAAACAAACTGCCTGTTAAATACAGCGATGACAGAAGTGTAGAAATGAGCATCCAGACTCCAAAGACTTCATTGTGAATGTCCTTCAGTTGAACTGGAATGTACTGATGCTGAATTTCTTTAGTGTACCGCAGGACTGTCAAAATGTGTGGTCTGCCTACAGTTGACTACACCAAAGGTTTGTTGATTAAACTTAAGCTAGCCGGTCAGTCAATCAAGCACACAAGTATTATATAGCCCCTTTTAAATTTCTAATTTTACCAGAGCAAGTCTAGCCCATGCGTATTTAAAACCATAGCAAATAACTGATTAATTTGGCACGTCTGGATGCCTCATTATGGAAACATTTCAGTCGGTTTGATTCATTACAATGTATAGCATGTTTCGTGATGAGCGATGTAGACAAAAACTAGCTGAAGAACAATTGTTTATAGATTCAAGGCAGTACTCTTTGACATTGTACTGCTTTCCCAATACTTTTCTTGTAGGACACTTCTTATAGTGTTGATTTTTTTTCTAGTGAGAAAATGACATTGGCTATCATTCTTGGTAACTCGGCATATATTTTGCACCCTGGGCTGTTACACTGGAGCATCTGTGTAGTGAAATACTGTACAGCAGTGGTACATGTGCGCCCCGCATACTTAAAAATGTACATTTGAGAAAACTAGAACGATTGTAGTCTGAAAAATAACCCAGCCCTTCATGTGAAGAACGAAACAATTCTTTAGGCCATAATATCCCTTTTTGATATTTTTAAGACACAATAAGTATATAAGTTCTCTGTCTATATAGCTCTGCAGCAAGCTTCCCAGAAGTAGTTGTTCTTAACAACATGGTTAAAACACTGTGCTGGTTATTTGTGCTGGAAAGGAAGTCTCGTCTTTTATAATATTCAGTCACAATGAGCAAGTGATGTATTCTAGCTGTAAATTATTATTGTTTTGTTCATTTAAAGTTTTATTTACTTACATTTTATGTATTTGGAGAGGTTTACATGTGTGTAATTGGCTATTCATGTTAAAATCATTCAGTGCCACGTGCAGTGTTACACAGTGCTGACATTAGTTAAACGCTCTAGTTTAATGTCAGTTTTCTAAAAAAGGCCATTTTGAGGCCATTTTGTGTGAGCAGACAGAAGCTAGTTTTTCCATATAGTTATGTTTACGTGCAAAATTGTTTATCCTTTGTATATGGATAAACGTGTTAAAGCTTATATTTACAAATCATTTACAAATGTTGTATGCCAGGCTCACATTATTTAAACCAGGAGCATGTTATTTATTAATGATTTTTTTTTTCTGCATTATATTTGTCACTGGCCAAAAATGTTTCATTGAATGAATTCAATTCAGAAAAAATATATACGATGAAGAGTAAAGTTAGCTATAGTACATATAGTTAGCAAGTTTTTTTCTCTCTCTCTATTTTTCATATCAGGACTTTGTGTCTTTTTTTTTTTTCTTCAAGAGCTTTCGATCAAATAAGGTTCAAAATTGCTTAAGATTTGCTGTAGATCTTATTGTCGGATGGATAAGAAGTGTTGACTCGCATTGATCATATTCAGCTGAGCACTTTGCTTCTCATGTCTGTTTTGTCTCATTGAACTGGAACTGCTATGCATCTCTCTCAAGAGCAATTCTGTGTGGTACGCTGAATGTATTTTGACCAATCAGCAATGTCTGTAATCACAAACACAGTGTTGATTATCCTGTGTAGATATTACCTAGCACTAAAATGATGCTGATACATTGTTTGCTTTCACTAATATTCACAGTATAATGATCGTCATGGTTTTAAGTTGATTATCAAGAAGACATATAATTTTTAATGTGTAGGCTTTTTTTATATCCATTGGTGTATTAATGGTCCCAGTGTTTAGACTACCTATTATTTTTGCATTTTCTTTCCTTTTGCTACTTGCTTGGCTGTTGCTCTTTGATTTTGCAACATTGTAATGTTGTATATTTAGAGGTTTATAGCTATTTTTTTTATGTTTGTATGCTGCTATTTTCCTGCTATTTTCCCAGCAGATGGTTTAGATAAATTCACATAGCTTCATTATGACTTGAAAAATCAGAATGGGAAAAAAAAAGGGTTTTCCTCCATAAAGGATAGTAGCAGGGCAAAAGTAAAAAGAAAACATATGAAAGCCACGGTATCAACACAAAGTTAAGTTCGAAAAAAAAAATTTGAATATCTTTTTTTTTCCGTTAGGTGTCTTCTATACATTAATCTCTGGTGCTGCAAAATCATGTCATATATGTTTGTACCAGTTTTTCAGTATTCTGTATCATATGGGTTTTATACTCAGACAGTCCTTCCATTAAAATACTTCTTCCTCCATTTCCTCCAAAAACCTGAATTTCCAATAGTGTGTAAATAACACTACTTAGAATATAGAATTTTACCCTCAGAATTTGATTACGGTATTAGAAAAATCATAGTTACGATGAGGACTTTTCTCAACGTGACACCTTCCTATAGGGTGGTTGAATATTTTGCGTAGATGTAGTTATTGATGATTCATCCGGAAGTAATACGTCTGTCTTTGCATTCTTGGCATGCGGCATGAATGAGTGTAGAAGAGAGATCTGAGTATGTTTGTCTATGTGACTACCATATAAAAGGGTGAGAATGACGGTACAACCCATTTCAATAAATCTCCTGTACTTCATTACTCGTGTCTTGTATTGCTTTCATATACTGTACATGTAAATGTAAGACAAAAGGCTTTTAGAGCAAAATATTTTCATGTTCCAAGCTGGGAGAACTCGAATGTTATTTGACAACTGTTCTTCATCTCAAAAGCATCAAATTCAGTTTCCACATCAATACGTTCATTTAATCAAAATTCATTAGACCCTGCAATTATCTCCTCAAGCTTTAGGATTTTAGCTTTGTATTTGCATTACACTGCGAAACTCACGGATGTTGTTTCTTTCAGGGAAATTAATGGGAAGGAAATTCTCATGCCCACCCAAACAAATGAAATAGCCTCTTGAACGACAAGGTAGCTTGTTAAACTTCTCACCTCATTTGTTTATGAGTAACAGGACTTAGGAGTGTGTGTGTGTGTGTGTGCGAACCGCTGCATGTACAAGTGCCACTCAAGCTGTTTACCATCTCCTCCTGAGGAGCAGTATCATTGCTCTTCATTCACAAGACCGGCCCCTTCACAATCCACACAGAGATACTTTCTCACTGCAACATTTGGATGAAAATAGAGCTTTTCAGATGCAATGATATGTAGATTCACGGAATTCCCTATTGAAACAGGACACTTCTCAAAGCAAGGATTTCCAGTAGTTTCTTCAATAAGACACAGTCTGTCTAAGGAAGCTTGAGACAATGTGCCGTGCAAGACGGGTGCTCTCTTTATACTAGAGGGTGCTTAAAAGTATTCCGAGTTTTTTAGCTGTGTTTTATTTTTAAAGGTGTATGGGAAACCATTAAAGTACAGTTCATAAGGCCAAAATAAAATACAACTCATTACAAATACATTTGTTCTTTCATTTAAGTAAATTTTTTTAATGTAATGACCTTTAAATAGGTTAAAAGAGGTAAAAAAAAAAGTCTTGTACAGCTAAAATATAACATACGCCATCTTTAAATGTGTGAAATTTTCCATGACTGTAGTAATAGATAGTCAGTCATTTGTGGGGTCTTGCTTTATAAGTGAAATATAAAGCAAGATATGGAAGATTCTCCATTCTCTATTTCCATTGTTGCTTAATAATTTCCTCATTTTGTCCTTTTCTTTGGGCGAACTTGGTTTCATTTTACTTCAGTGTTTTAAAGCAGAGCCTGAATGTCAATAAATACTCACTGACAGATATTAATACTGTTTATAAATGTTAAATTTTATTATGAAACAAGTGATGCTAGACAAAATTTGTTAAGCCTTTTTACATGCATATGAATTCATTTAGCATTCAGCCAATGCGACTTCTGAGAAAAGAAGTACATGCATATATTCACATATATTCTTTGCAACTAAAAAGTATATTTTTTTATCTTAATAATAAATACATAGCGCATATATATATATATATATATATATATTAGGATAAAAGTTTACATTTCTATTGTTTAATTATTATTATTTATTTGTATCTTATACTGTATTGTATGTATACATCCATACAATTTAATGATATTTAAATATGTTTAAGTGTGAATTAAGTGTCCAAATACTTTCTAGGGTCACTGTAAATGTTCCACTTTGTACCACTCCTGTTAATGATTATGCAGCATTAGACAGAGAGGGTGGAAGGTGTAATGTTTAATGAGGTGCACTGTGCATCATTTTAGACTGGTAATACATTAATTACCCTTTTTGAAGGACATCTAAAAGCCAGTACTTACATTCATTACAGTGTAATGTTTTCCCTTTGGATCAGAAATGCGATCTTCTTTTGGTCAAGTCAAGTGCATATTGTATTTTGATATTGGCCCACAATATGCGACATAATCCTAAAAAATAAATGAGGAGCACCTTTTTTTGCTCGCTTTTCATGAATTAGCAATGACTGACGCTGTAAATGTTCTGGCGTAGGTTTACGGCTCATTTTCATCTGCTCTAATTGGAACAATAACTTTAACACATTCATTGCGAGATACTGTTTCGTTTTGTCTAGTGTCCAGTGGATGTGGCACGCGTCACGTCCCTTCCGCTGGACTTTATATGATACATGATAGCGCCTGCGTTTGATCGTAAATTACAGGACAGACAGTCGTGGTTCGAGCCCACCGGATGGCGCGTGTGTTTACAGGGACAAGCGTGCAGGTGAAGGCCACCCACAGTTCATCTGTGCTGCTGTTAAAAATGGATGGGCGTCATGGCGCAGAGATCGGTGACACCCGGCACGCGTCCATTCAGAGAAAACCACCCCAAGCAATCTGTGACAAGATGTTCGACAAGTGAAATTCAACACATGGATGAGCTATTCAGGTATGACAGGCATTGGTGGCTGTCGGCCCCAGCTCTGGCTGAACCTGACCTAACATAAACCAGATGTCAAGGTTAGCATCCACTGGGGCTTCCACCCTGCTCTGAAGCTTTAGCAGAGAACAGTAAGTTAATCTGGAAAAGCACTTGGTTTATAGGGGAAACCTGCATGCAGCTAGGTGTCAAATGAGCCTCTCAGCGCGAGGATGGGCCCCCATCAGGCCCTATTGTGTGCACCATTGTGTGCTTGATTGGTGCCACGCGTCCTGGATCAGGTGAACAAAGGCCAGATGACACCCTGAGGTGCAAGACGAGGGGAAATCAGACACATGAACAGGGCAATTAAAAGAAAAGGAGGTGAAAGGAGCTGAGCCCAAGCTAAGAGAAAGCCAAGAGAAATTCAAAGGTAACTGATAAAGTTTACAAACTAGAAAGAGACTGACAAGATAGGAACATCAGTACAAGCGGAGCTCTCAGGGTTTAACGAGTGCATTTCATTTTAAAGAGCACAGCTTTATATGCTGCAAAAAGGCTAAAATATAATTTATGCTGTTTTGTGTAGGCGTATGTGCGTATGTTGTCTAAAGCTATGGCTTTAGTCCTGCCCTTTCACACATTGCTTTACCCTAAAAAAATATTAAAAGAGCAAACAAATATTAAAACTATACATAATATATTTTACAATTATTATGTATAATAATATAAAAATGATTGGGCTCAAAGAATTATAAGCAAAATATCCACATGCTAACATAAGACTGTTTTTGCTGCAGTATGCCGCTGATTTAGGTTTCAGAAACACAAGTTATGTCTCTTCACAAAGATTTTACAAAGACCTTTTGATTTTACAAACCCCTGGTGGTTCTTGAGGGAAATGCAGGTGGTTTGTGAGTTGATGAAAAGCTAATAACTAAATAAATTATAAAAATGTAAAATTAAAATAAATATTGTTATAAAAATGTTAAATTAAAATAAATATATTTTTTAAATTGTCTACCTGTATGTTGACCATTAACCATCATTAAAGAACCGTGAACATGCGAAAGTATTGCAAAATTTCTAAAGTATTTTAAAATCTCGGGGTACATCAAGTAAATATCAAACCAAATAGGTTTAGCTGACAAAAACATGTAGGAATACCTGCTTTAAACCACAAAAACAATAATGTGTGGCACCATGCTAACTGAATAGATTACATCATCTCTCTCTATACTCTTTTACCAAAGTGAATTTCCATTACCATAAACAGAAAAAATCTTACCTAATAATAATAATAAAAAATTGATTCCCAATGAAAATTCAGTGTTTTATTCTTGTGATAACTTTTAGGTGCCATTATTCTCAGTTTCCCCTGAGCTAATCTGACTTCAGTATTGATGTTTTTAAATGACAATTTT